AGACCTCGTTGAGGTGTCCCAAAGTGTCCCCAGGGTCACCGGTGACACCCGGTTCTTCTGTCCCCTCCACGATGACGTCACTGCCAGTGGCCACCAGCACCTTGTCACCTCCTGGGGGTGTAGGGACAAGTCCAACCAGGGTGGTGGCACCTCCGTAGACCTCATTGAGGTGTCCCAAAGTGTCCCCAGGGTCACCGGTGACACCGGGCTGGTCCGTCCCCTCCACGATGACATCACTGCCACCGTGGGCCACCGCGACCGTGTCACGTCCTGGGGATGTGGGGACAGGAGCCACCGGGGTGGTGGCACCTCCATAGACCTCGGTGACACGTCCTAAAGTGTCCCTGGGGTCACCAGTGACACCCAGTTCTTCTGTCCCCTCTGCAATGACGTCACTGGCAGTGGCCACCAGCACCTTGTCACCTCCTGGGGATGTGGTGACAAGTCCAACTGGGGTGGTGGCACCTCCATAGACCTCGTTGAGGTGTCCCTTGGTGTCCCCAGGGTCATTGGTGACACCTGGTTCTTCTGTCCCCTCCACAAGAATGTCACTGTCAGTGGCCACAAGCACCTTGTCACCTCCTGGGGCTGCGGTGACAAGTCCCACCGGGGTGGTGGCATCTTCATAGACCTCATGGACGTGTCCCTCGGTGTCCCTGGGATCGCTGGTGACGCTGGGCTGGTCTGTCCCCTCTACCATCTCGTCCCCAGGGGTGGCCACCAGCACCTTGTCCCCTCCCTGGGGTGGGGTGACAGCGGCCACCGGGGTGGTGGCACCTCCGTGGCTCTCGCTGACGTGTCCCTCGGTGTCCCCAGAGCAGTTGGTGGCACCAGGCCGGTCCCTCCCCTCCAGGACGACGTCCCCTCCGTGGGCCACCATCGGGCTGTCGCCTCCTGGGGATGTGGGGACAGCGGCCACCGGGGTGGTGGCATCTCCGTAGACCTCGGTGACACGTCCTAAAGTGTCCCCAGGGTCACCGGTGGCACCGGGCTGGTCCGTCCCCTCCATAACCACGTCCCCTCCGTGGGCCACCATCAGGCTGTCACTTCCTGGGGATGTGGGGACAGCGGCCACCGGGGTGGTGGCACCTTCACAGACCTCCCTGGCGTGTCCCAAAGTGTCCCCGGAGCAGTTGGTGGCACCGGGTCCCTCCGTCCCCTCCATCACCAGGTTGTCCCCTCCCGGGGCCGCCCCCCCGGTGTCACCTCCGGGGGTCCCGGTGGCCCCTCGGGGGGTCTCGGTGGCCACTCCGGGGGTCTCGGTGGCCCCTCCCGCGGTGTCCCCTCCGCAGCTGGTGGCCCGGAGCCGCTCCTCGGTGACGTCACTGGCCCCTCCCCCCTCCTGGGGGTCGCAGTCCGGGGGCAGCGGGGGAGGGGTGGGCGGGGGGGGGGGGGCGGCGAAGGGACATCGGGGGGGGTCGCCCGGGGGGGGGGGGGGGGGGTCCGGGCCCCCCCCGGACCCCACAGACCCCCGGGGCACCCACGGGACCCCCCCCAGGACCCACGGGACCCCCATACACACCCTCCCCCCACAGAACCCTATGGACCCCTACGAGACCCCAAAGGACCCCCCCCCGAGAGTACCCATGGGACCCACTGCATATTCCTACCCCACAGCACCCCCACACAGGGTCCCCCAGCACCCCAAGAGACCCCACAGAACCCCACAGCACCCATGGGACCCCAGAGCACCCCACAGCATCCCCTCACCCCACAGCACCCTGAAGACCCCCTCCCTCAGCACCCCACAGGACTCACAGCACCCCCCAGCACCCCATAGCACCCATGGGATCCCTCACAGACCCCCCCCCAGCAGCCCACAGGACCCCATTGCACCCACGGGCCCCCCCCAGCACCCCATAGCACCTGTGGGACCCCGTACAGAGCCCCCAGCACCCACAGGACCCCCCAGCACCCATGGGAGCCCCCATAGGACCCCCCAGCACCCTCCTCTCCCCATAGCACCCCCTCACTCTATAGGACCCCATAGGGCCCCCTCCTCGCACCCCATAGGACCCCTGGCACCCCACAGGGCCCTCTCACCCCATATCACCCTAGGGGACCCCCATAGAACCCCCAGCACCCCCACGCCCCCACGAGCCCCCCCCGCCCCCCATAGCACCCCCCAGCCCCCCATAGCACCCAGAGGACCCCCCGAACCCCCCCGGGCGCACCCCCGAGGACGGCGCCGAGCAGCAGCAGCCGCAGCCCCCGCTCCATCCTGGGTGGGTGCGGGGGAGCCCCGGGCCGGGGGGTCCCCTTTATCCGCGCCCCACCCCCCCCAAAAGAACCCCACACCCTCCCGCCCCCACCCAATTAGCGGGGCGCGGTGGGGGAGGGGCGGCGGCCCGGCCCAGGAATGTGGGGCACCCGCCCCCGCCCCCCCCCAATTATGGGCACCCCACGGGCGGCCCCACCCCCACCTCTGCCCCACTGACCCCGCGGGGCGACGGGGACGCGGCTTTGGGGTCACCCCTGACCCAGAGATTGGGGTCCTCTTTGTCCCTGACCCAGAGATTGGGGTCCCCCCTCTTCCGGACCCAGAGATTTGGGGTCCCCCTGTCCTGGACACGAGATTCGGGGTCACCCCTGACCCATGGATTGGGGTCCCCCTGTTCTGGACATAGTTTTGGGGGTCACCCCTGACCCAGAGATTTGGGGTCCCCTCTGTCCCAGACTCGGCTTTGGGGTCACCCCTACCCATAAATTGGGGTCCCTCCCGTCCCAGCCCCACAGATTTTTGGGGTCCCCTGTTCCCCCCCCTCTCCAGATTTGGGGTCTCAGCCCCCCACATTCGGGGGGGGGGGGGGGGGGGGGTGCCCCTGTTCCCCCCCCCCCCCCCCCTCAAATTTGGGGTCTCGCGGGCTCTCCCCCCTTTCCCACCCCCTCAATTTCGGGTCCCCTCCCTCCCCAAATTTCGGGGTGTTCCTCCCCCCCCCCCTCCC